GGAAAATGTGGTATATCTACACAATGGAATACTACTCAGCTATAAAAACGAATGAAATACTGCCATTTGCAACACTCTTTTCTGAAGCAGACAGCCAGCTAGATTAGGCCCAAGGGCTGTGGTTTGCCAACTTAAGGTCTACGTGATTGAAATATTTCAATTTTTTGTTTACACTTTTCAGCTAGTTCTCTGCTCTGAGGCAAAATTTACATGAAAATTGGATCTGGGTACAAGAGGCCACTCTGTCCTTGGGCACAGCAAAGAAGGAGATGCCAGGACCAACCAACCCACTTCCCCCACCCGAGCCATTTGCCCCACCCGGGGGTGAGACCGCCTTCCTCCAGCACTTTCACTGGCTCTTGGACACTCTCCGCTCTCAACTTCTAGCTTAGACCTGCACAGTTTTCAAAGTCCTTGACTTCAAATGACATCGTATCGTTCCTTTTATTTCCTGCAAAGCTGCAAAGCCCCCAAAGCAGAAGATGGAAATTTTACCCTCCAATTCTTAGAAACAGAGAATCACAATTTCTGCACACTCCAGAAGCCATTGTTGTACCCGCAGGATGCAGACACAGCGTCCCCTCACTCCTCACCAGCACTGCCAAAGGGGACAGAGAGGGGCTGGCCTCCCCTCCCATGGTCACTTGCCTCCAGACCCCTCTCTCCCAGGCTCACATGGCCCCAGGTGGACCCCAACAAAGCCCTTAACCACAGGGCCGGATGCGCACACGTAAGCTCCAGGGGAGCAGAACCTGGCCTGGACACCTGCCATTCACACAGTAGGTACTCAGTAACATCTGCTGAATTACTGAGTCATCCCCGCTCATGAACGTTTACGGATCATAGGCCTAGAACACTGTGGGCTCCCAGGAAATGCTTCTTGAGCACGGACAATTGGGTCAGCTCCCTGTACCCATTTACTCTGCAGGGAAGGGCAGGAGACCCAAGAGTCGCACAGTGGGCTGTCTCCTGAATCCCATTCCAGGATCCAGGAGCTGTTGTCCAGCCCGTCTTTTCCGCAACTGTTTCCCATGGACTAAAGTCCTGCTGGATACTGCTGAGGGCTGTGAGTGTCCAAGAAAAGGCTAGGACCACGGAAGTCTGCGGTGGTGGGCACGTGGTGAGCCTCACACCTCACACCTTGGGCCAGCCTCCCTCCTCGAGGATCCAGAGGCATCCCCTCTGCTAAGTTAGGCATGGAAGGGGGCCCAGAAACACAGGCTGCCCCACCTTGGTGGCATTTTATCCAAAGCAGCCTCACTCTTACGAGGAAGTGGATGCGGTAAAGGGGCCTTTGCTGAGGCAGGAGGGGACGGGTGGGATTGGTGGCTCCCAGGTCTGAGATTCTTGCTGGGTGTTGAGCTGAGGTGGAGGAGAGAGCAGTGTCTCGGTGACACAGCCACACAAGTAAGGAATGACAAGCAGTCAGGGCGAGAGCTCAGAGCAGGGAGAATCTTAACACAGGCAAGATTTATCAGCCTGTCACACACCAAGTGTACTTACAATAGAACTGACATCACAAGAGTTTCTGGAACAAATATTTATTTGTTTTGTGCTCTGGTTTTGGGGCCAATCCATCTCTGAGTGGCACTGTGTGTGTGGACAAGTGCCAGCTTCAGAGCATGGCAGCTGGTGGAGGAGGCTGCCCCCTCCAGGCCCAGGAGCCTGGGTCAGAGCAGCCGGGAGTGAGGGCACCCCACCCAGTGCTGGTGCTCTCGGGGCGGCAACACCTGCAACGTGCTGGCCACGTCAGCAGCCCGTGGAAGGACGCCTGGAGACGGGGCTCTGGTCCCGGCTTCGCCAGCTCCTGGTTCTGTCCTTAGCTCAGCGATGAGCGTCTCTGAGTCCCCGGGGTCCTCTGCACTCACGGTGCTCATGGCACAGTGGTCTGGTTGGCTTCAAATGAGAAAATGAGCAAGTGTCAACCTGCAGAAGAATCGCCGCCACAATATCAAAGCCAAGGAACGCAGGACGATTTAGGAAGTGCCAGGGTCACAATGCCTGGGCCAGCCTGTGGCCACATCGGTCCTGATGATCGGTGGGCCACAAGCAGAGTCTCAGACTCACTGTATGAAGGGAAGGGAAGGAGATGAGGAGGAGAGAGGGAGGCATGATTATCTCTGAGCACTCACACGTCGCAGGGGCAGGCTTGGGGCTTCAGGCGTATCTCTCCTTCTCATTCTCACGGTAATTCTACGAAGTATCATGCACCCCAGTCTACACATGAGAACGCTGAGACTCGGAATTGTGGGGTCACTGTCCAAGACCACGCAGACAGTAACCGGTAAGGTGGAGACTGAAGCAGGTCCTCCTGTCCCCTCCTCCCCACGCCCAGGACACGCCCTTGCCAGCACATCAGTGACTCCTGCGACAACACGCATCGGGACATTCAGAAACACAGGCACTTGGCCTAACTCTGCCTCCCTGGGGCCCATCAGTGTCCTCAGACTGTCCTCGTACATTCTTGCCACACCCCAGATCTGCCAGGAGGCCCTCACCCGCCACCCCGCATGAGGTCTGTGGCTCCTCGCAGCCCATGGCTCAGCCTGCCTCAGCCCAGAGCAACCAACACGGGTGCTGGCCACCGAGCTCCTGGAGGAGCACAGGCAGCCAGGAACCTGGCACAGGACTGGCCCCAGGATGGTGGTGAGCAGGAGACCAGTGGCCCTTTCCAGGGGACGGCCTACTTGTTCCCAGTAGAATGTGGCCCCATGGAAATCCAGGCCAAGCAGGACCTTAACTCTGAACTCTCTTAAATCTCTTAACTTTTCAAAATAGCAATGAAAAAATACAGAAATAGAAAGTTTATATGAATCCTCTCAGGTTTTAGAAGTTGGCCTCACATTTTATTAAACACTTAGCAAGTCACACAAGGCCTGCTTGTAGGAGAGTGACCCACACGGCCTCCACGGTGAATGGAGCAGTTGGCCGACGACGAGGAGTGGCAGCTGTGCCTGAGCAAGCCGCACCTGAAGGTGTCACCTGTCCAAAGGATGTTTTGCCAGGGAAGGTGCTCCAGGGGGCAGGTGGATGCTAGCAGTGGCAGGCCAGGTCTGTGTGCATGGGCAGGCCCTGACCTGGGTCCTCAACGGCAGGGATCACTGGGTCTACACTGTGAGCGCATGGGCCTTGCACCACGGGGGCTGGATGAATGTCGGCCAATGAGCAAACATCCCACCAGCCCTTTTCTTCTCCTTTATGTTTTCTAACAAACCTGTTCCCCAGGGCTCCAGCCTACTTTGCAGCATCACATTCGGCGTCAAGTGCAAAGCTCTTTTTTCTAGAGAAGAATGCAGGAGCAGCTCTCCAGCTTGCACAAAGACCGGATGGCACTTCCAGATAAAGCTGTTAATTAGTGCAAAGCTTCCTGGCCTCGGCTGGGGCTGCCTTGTAGCTGGTAGGGATCCCTTGGAAAACAGGGGTAGCAGGAAGTCAGCATGGCTGTGACAAGGAGGTGTTGGGCACCTCTCCAGTCTGCCAAGTGGAACACGGCTCCCAAAAAATGTTTGTTCCCTCTCCTTCCTCTGTGTGCCTCGAAGTCTGTCTCACAATCAGTCCAGGTGGTAACCAAGGAGTAAAGAGAAGTCAGGAGGCAGCGGATCCTGGGAGTACCTGGTGTTACAGGGAGATGAAGCTCACGGTCCCTCAATGTCCCCAGATACCCTGTGTGGTGCGTGCCCAAGGCCCAGACACCCTGCTGGCACTGGGGTCCCGAGAAGAGAAACCTGGCCTCTTTGTCTCTCTATAGACAGTGTAAAATAGCAGCCTGGGGAATGAGGGGACCACAGAGAAGGGTCACCACTGCCCACCCAGGGTTGATAGGAAGAGGGGATACACAGGCCCAGGATGGCAGAAGCTGAGGCGCAAGGCCAGGTGGGAGCCGCCCACCCAGCAGGGGAATTCACTGGTGGTTTAGGTGGGAGAACTTCCAGGTCGGGTAGGCTGCTCTGGCCAGCACCCCAAACCCAGGACTTCCACAACTCAATGGGGAGGTCACGCTGCTGTGGGAAGGACACTGGCTTTGGAGTTGAGGGCCCCTACAGTGTCACCAACTCACTCTGCCATTGTGGGGAAGCCTCACGACCTTGCTCATCTCCAGAAAACCCCATGGGGGTGGGACAAGGGCAGGTGGCCCTACAAGTCCCTTGAGGGTCTCACATTTCTGATCTGCCAACTCTTCTCTGCATCCATGAAAATCATGACCCCCACCGACTCATCCCAGATACGGTGAATGCTCCACAGCACGAATGATGTGGGCACAGGTGGCCTCGCCCAGGGAGATGCTGGGTTAGATCTTGGTGATGGACATCTCCTCTCGTCCCCAAAGGCTGCCGACCCCGCTTGAGGCCAGCCCTCTCTCCCACACCCCCCATGGGACTGGGATGCCACCAGGCCCTCCGTCAACTCCCAGACTTACCTGGCTTGACACTCTAGACCCTGGAGAGCCAGAGGGAAGGACCCGATGGATAGTCTGTCACCACGAGCATTTCAGAGGACACACTTAAATAAAACAAATCCTTCTATTGGAAATAAACCTCAAAAACATTCTTAACAAATGGGCATTAGCATCTCTCCTGGCAATGGGGCACGTGAGTCTCTTAGCGGAGTTTCAGCAATAATTCAGGCACATTTTCCTACCTTGCATGGCAACGATTCTCGGTGGATTCCTCTGGAATAATAGGCCCATTCCGGTTGTTAGGACGTGCTCTTTAAAACTGAGTTATTCCTAACATCTTGGAAAATAGGGGCTCTTCATCTCACCAATTATGAAATACTGCAGACACCGCGTGCTGTTGGAGAGGAAGACGGATGGTCAGAGATAATGGCGAGGCAGGGCTCGTGCGCCCAGGACGCCACTCTGGAGTTTGTCATCACTTTGCAAGTATTGTTGGGGGAGGATTTAACTGCTCTGTGGTGGGGAGAGGACGCTGCTCGGCCGCCCCTGTCACGACGGGAAGTGACCGAGGGGGCTGCACGAGGCTCCGTGGGAGGACAGAGCCAGGGTTTACCATCCAGCCGGCTCCTGGCCCCACTCACGTGCTCTCATCCACTCCCTCCACAGCCAGTACCCAGATGCCGAGGTGGGAGATGAGGAGAGGCCTGGGGACTTCACAGTGTCCACAGTGCCAGTGGAGCAAAGGTTCCTGCCAAGGAAGTGGCCAGACAAGGCCAGGAGCGGTGGATGCAGAGGTGACTTGATCCGAGGCTGGAGAGGCACAAGAGCCGGGTGCGCACAGAAGCCGTCCAGATGAGAAAGGCCCGAGGCTGAGGAAGGACGCCTGGCCCTGGTGGGCACACGGCTGGGTGAGGCGTTGGCAGGACTGTCACCAGGGCACAGAGGGAATGGCCTGCCACACTGGGAAGCACAGGCTGTCTCCTGAGGACAGTGGGGTCCTTGGGTGGTTTCAAGATTGAGGTGGCACAGCTAGGTCCTCCCTGGCCAATGGGAGGAAGCTGGCCTGGAGGGGACAAGGCTGGAGCTCAGTGTGGCAGCTGTGGTCGGTGCCAAGGGGGCTGACGAGCAAGAACAGGGATGCGGACGTGGATGGGTCAGCGGCAGCAGGAGTGAGAGGAATCCGAGTCCCGTGTGCTTTGGTTGTTCACGTCGGGAGACTTGGCAGCTTCAAAGCTCAGAGCTAGAAGGGACTCTGTAGTGGGCTGAATATCGTCCCGTCAAAGTTCATGTCCACCTGGAAACTCAGCATGTAACTTTATTTGGGAATAAGGTTTTTCAGATGTAATTAAGGTGAGGATCTCAAGATGAATTCATCTCAGATTAGGGTGGGCCCTAAATCCAATGACTGGCGTCCTCATAAGAAGAGGAGACACACAGCACAGAAGGCCACGTGTGTGACTCACTTAAATTCACCCCCTCCACAGACAGCAGGAGTCCGCCCAAGGGCCTGGACGTGCCTCTTCTGGCTTGCAAGGCTGGGGAGGGCTGCCCTCTCTGGGTTAGGCCACCCTTGGGCTCTCTCATCCCCATGAGGAAAAACTGGGAGGAGATCAAGAGACAGAGACCAAGCGAAGGGCTGTGTGCCCTTTGTTCCCCATGAAATGCAGCCCCCAGCTGGATGGGGCATCACAGCATCCACTGTGTCCAGACACCCGCCTGAAGGGGAGCCTCGAGCCCCCAGCGCTGGCTGTCCTCCCGCTGTGACAGAGGCGGCAGCACCATGGTTTTCTGTGCTTGTCCAGCTCTTCCAGGTCAGGCTCCAGCAAGCAAATGAGAGGCCTCCCGTGCAAGGACTGAGGATCCTCAGAGAAAGCTAGCCCCAGCCCCACTGTGGCAAAATCCCAGGAGAAACTATTTGAGACTCAAAGGGCCACATTCTTCCTCATCGCTTAAGACCACAGATGGATCAAAATGGCTTGGCACACCAGCAGGGCTCTCAGGGGACAGGGCTGAGCAAAGCTGCTACCTCCTCACCTCCTTCGGCTCCCTGGTCCCTGTCACAGGAAAACGACCTGCAGCTTGGCCCTCCTCACCAAAGACAATGTCAGAATCACTTGGTGACACCTGCTCTCGCAGGAAGGAGAGCCATCAGGGCTCAGACGATGGATAGAGTAAGGATTTTCTTTTCTTTTGAGACAGACATCTGCGGGGTTGGGAAGTAAGCAAGAGGGAGAACTTGGTCCGTGTGACTCGTGGTACCGACGGGGACACCCAGGACCAGACGATGGTGTGCAGCAGGTGCGGCCACACAGGGGTCAGTTGAAGAACCAGAAGCAGAACCCAGTCGGCCGAGCCCTGGCCTGGCTCCCTGAGCTGGTGGCCGTGAGCCGGGCCAGGAGGATGGGAGGGATCAGACCTTCGGCAGGTGAGGGTGCTGGCAGGGACAGAAGCCAGCAGGGGTGGCTGCTCTCCGTCCTCAGCTCCCACTGTGCGGGTGGCT